TCTTTCACACGGTCCTCCAGAATTTGAGGGTCAATCCTCCGCCTTTGCCTGTCCGGACTTTGTGAACGAGAGTGACGGGGGCTGTTAGTCCGCCTCCCCCTAGTATCCCTCCTGGGGTTATGTTGTTGGGGCTCCAAGTCCGCCATGGGAGGGATAGAAGGTAGTCCTTCACGCCTTGCACCCCCATCTGGTGTTTGCCCGTCGATGACGGACTGTGGTAGATCTTCATTGTGTGCCATTGTTCCTAAAGAGGTAAAGCTTGATCAAGAGGTTTTGTCCTGTCTGTTTTTCCCACAGACGGCGCCAATTTAAAAAAATTTAAAAAACTCAAATAAAAACTTGTTTGGTAAAATTTTTGATTTATAAATCAGTGGTCTTAGTTTATAAATTTGGCCAAAAAAACGAAAACACAGAAAATGTGTTTCCATTTTGAGTTTTTAGTTTTTTTTTTTACCACCCAACACTAGCCACCAACCATCATCATTTTCCACCACCGTCTTCCGCCACCACCCCCACCACCACTCACCACCCACTTGCCACCACCACCATCCACCACTCGCCACCACCACGCACCCACCACCACCCACCTGCCACCCAACGTCCATCCACCCGCCACCACCCACCACCCGCCACTACCATCCACCGCCCGTCACCTACTTCCCACCACTACTCACCACCCACCTGCCACCACCATCACCCACCCTGTCACCCACCCACCACCACCACCACCACCACCACTTATTACCCACCACCACCTCGCCACCACCACCCACTCGCTACCACCTTACCACCCGCCACTGTCACCCACGCCACCACCACCACCGCCACCCGCCATACGCACCTACCTGCCACCAACACCCACCCACCCCGCCACCACCACCACACCACCACTCGCTACCACCCGCCACGTCACCGTCACCCACCCACCTGCTACCACCACCCACCACCTGCCATCGCCACCACCACCCAAATTGCAATCCCACCCACCACCCACCACTGTCATCTACCCACCCACTACCAGCACCCACCACCTACCCGCCACCACCCGCCATCCACCACCCACCTGCCACCACCACCTACCACCCGCCACCGCCGCCACCGCCACCGCCACCCACTCGCTACCACCCACCACCCGCCATCGTTACCCACCCACCCACCACCACCAGCTACCCATCACCCACCGTCACCACTTTCCACCACCGTCTTCCGCTGCCACTTGCCACCACTTGCCATTTCTTACTCTTTTTTATATTTTTAAATTTTTTTAAACATTTTGTCAATTACCAAATGCGGTTGTAGTTTATGTTTTTCTAAAAATAAATAAAAAATAAACAAAAATCAGTTTATAAAATTTTTGTAAATATAAACTGAAAATGTAAACGTTACCAAACACACCCATCGTGTTTTGTTTAGCGAAATTCTTTATTTGTGCATAGCACATTTGAATGTGTAAAAAAATATTACAAAAATATGTAAACAACGGTTAACTTAGCAATATCAATTTTTTTTAAAAAAAAAATGAAGAATAATTAAAGAGAAAGGTTAATTACACTAAATTTTTTTTTGAAAAAATTAGTCTAAGATCCCTATTCTATTTTAGTAATGGAAGAGATTCACAATATTATTTTATAATATCTAAGGTCCCTCAACCCCACACTCAGGTATTATAGAGAAATTTGATATATCTCATAGCTTCAAATCCTCACCCTCCCTCTCTCCTTTCTGCTCTTCTTTCTTTCTCTCTCTCTCTCGTCGATCCAGCTCAATCAGTCCAACAAGCCCTGTGTCAAGAACCCTTCCGCCACTCTTGCTCCGATTGAACCACCGTATGAAGGTCTTCCACCATGGCCCCAAGACAATCTCCGACCACTCTCGAAGCTTCTTCAGAGCGTTGATCCCTTGATCCCATCACCTCTCCTCCTCTCTCCGTCCTCATTCTCTGCCACTACTGCACTCTCACCACCGCCGATCTGTTCGAACCGCCGAAGCAAAGGATGCAAAAGCAAAATCACTTCCTTTCTGCTCTTTTTTCTTTCTCTCTCTCTCTCGTCGATCCAGCTCGATCAGTCCAACAAGCCCTGTGTCAAGAACCCTTCCGCCACTCTTGCTCCGATTGAACCACCGTATGAAGGTCTTCCACCGTGGCGCCAAGACAATCTCCGACCACTCTCAAAGCTTCTTCAGAGCGTTGATCCCTTGATCCCATCACCTCTCCTCTTCTCTCCGTCCTCATTCTCTGCCACTACTGCACTCTCACCACCGCCGATCTGTTCGAACCGCCGAAGCAAAGGATGCAAAAGCAAAATCACTTCCTTGGGAACAACACTTCAACCATTTCTTCATTCAGTTCTACATCTTTGTGAGAGAATTCAAAGCCTTCATTAGCCACATATATATGTATAATTCTCTAAATTAGAGAAACAAAGAGATAGATTGATGTTCAAATTTCTCTAGTAGGTCTCTGGTTTGTTCATATTTCTCTGGTAGGCTTTGGTTTATTCAAATTTCTTTGATTGTTCTAATTTTTGTAGAAGGTCTCTGGTTTATTCAAATTTCTCTGGTTGCTCAAAGTTCTCTGGTAGGTCTCTGGTTTGTTCAAATTTCTCTGGTAGGTTTCTCGTTTGTTCAAATTTCTTTGATTGTTCAAATTTTTCTCTGGTTTCTAGTTTGTTCAAATTTCTCTAGTTGTTAAGGAAATTCGGGTCGATGTGCCCAACTCTGGGTTGATTTACTTTGATGTTGGTGTTGTTCATAAGCAATTCTCTTTTTCTTTGTTTGAAACACCAAGAGATTGTATGGCTGTTCCACCCCCTAATATTCAAGATAAAAAGTTCATTGCCAAAACTGTGTCTAAGGTCTTTCTCTTGTCTTTTATATCCCAATTCACTATTTTCATATTGTAGATAATTGGGTATAAACTTGCTTTTGTTTTGGATAAATGATGAGAAATTTGATTATATTTTCAGGTGCATAAGTTTATCTACATTATATGCTTTAATTTTATATGGGTTTGACTTATCATAATTCAAATTCTATGTATTGAGATAATTTGTGATCAATTTGATAAAAAAAAGTTATAAGTTTGGGATTTAGCACTGTGATAATTTCAGAAAATGAAATCATTCTTTAAATTTTTTTGTCTTGCTAACTTCAAGAATTTATGTCCTGTTTGGTTTTATAGTTATTATCTGTGTGCATTCATATATGCTACATGTTCAATAAAGTTTGTGACTTATGAAACTTGTTTGTTGCTCGCTTATAGAGTCGATTTGGCAAGCTTCGATATCTAGTTGATCAGAGTGATTTAGTGAGAGCTGTTTCATAAATTGGAAAGATCAAGATGATTCAATTGGCACAATAGCTCAATTATAACTTGGGTTTTCCATTTGCTGTATGTATATATGCCTTCCGTGAGTCTAGTAGAAGGTTCTATGCTTCAATTTCGGTGTACTTGCTTGCAGTTTTTGTATAGTGCAGAGTCTATAAATTATTCATTGCTAGCTCCTACGAATATAACAGTGGCGATAAATTAAACTGAGAGGAGAAGAAGATATGGAAGTCATTGGTGTCTTTTATACAAAGGATAGAAATAGAGTAGGAGTATCGAATCGAAGTGGTTTCAGGTGATAAGTCTTCCAAGGATTGCTTTGTATGTTGAATTTATTATGAATATAGACACAAATATGGTTATTGGATCAAGTCTCTTTTTGTAGTATAGGAATAATGTTGAAAAGATATACATACTTCTATGATTGAAACTGGATTGTAGACAACAAGAATTTCTCTGGGTTTAAACCAGAGAAATTTGAATTTTCTCTGGTTTGAACCCAGAGAAATTCTTTGGGAAGTCTAGAATTTCACTGAAGAGAATTTCTCTGGGAATAATTTCTCTGGATTGAAATTTTTCTGAATCAATGTTGAGGGACCTTAGACATCATGAAAATATTGAATGTCCTTTATACTATAAAATCTTAATATCAGGGACCCTAAAAAGAAATCCCATTTTTCTTTTTTAACAATTAATAAATATTATTTTACTTTTTTAATCTCCAAATTTGTACATTTTAACTCCATCAACAATAAAAATGTAACACTTTTATTCTTTCAGACTCTCTCCAAAAGGGTGTTTGTAAGATTTTCATAATTTATATATTTTTTAAAAAAAATTGATAAGATTTTCATGGTTGAGAGAATTAATATGTATAAATATATAAATAAAAAAATAATAATGTTTATTACTAATAATTAAACAATAATGTTTATTACTAATAATTAAGAAAGTGTTAGAGCATCCGCATCAAAGCTATTGTAGAGAGCATCAGAATCAAATCCTTCCTCCATCAGGCTCAACAATTTTTTTGTAAATTAACGTTTTGTTAAATTTGTTACGGTAACTCATCTGATGAAGCGAGCAACTATTCATCGTTAAAACACGCGATTTGGGTGTAGCCGGACATTCGCCTGGAAGTCCGGCCGGTCAACGGCAATTTTTTTTTTCCCTCTAGTTTTACCTTTTGTAAAACATAAGAATTGTTTGGTTAATAACTCATCAATTTTTTTTTTAATAAAAAAAAAGAATAGCAAATATTTTAATAAGATTAAGTTAAAATAGATAGTTTGATGCAGTGAGTGATTAGATAAAACAGAAAAATGACTTTTTAAGCTATAATTTACTAAAATTTTGAAGAGACTGGTATTGATACTCTTAATATAATTATCTATATTATTATATTAAGTGAGGCCTAAATTTAATATGTGAAACTTCTATCACATGTAAATTAAATAGTAATAATTTTTTTTCCAAACACCTACACAAATGTTCTTCATAACAATTAAACTATTATAACAGTTTTAAATTTTAAAAATTAAATTTATAAATTTACTTTTAAATTTAAATAATAATATATTACCCTTCTAATTAACCTAAAATAAAAAGGCCAAACTGAATATGTGCAACCGTAAAAATCGAATTTCTCATTTAAGCCTGCTCCCTCGCTCGCACTAAAATTAGAATCCAAAAAAACACCCCCCTAACTCAAAAACAGACCTTTATCTGCAAATCCTCGTCGTTTTCTCTCTCCCTCTCATCCTAAAATCTCCATCTATGGCCTCCATTTCCAGGACTCGCCGAACCACCACCACCACCGGCGACCGATCCGCCGGCGGCAAAATACTCCGAAACAGGCGAATCGCCGCCCCCAAAACCCCCTACGACCGCCCTACTCCGGCCCCCACTCCTTCTAGGGCTCCTCCCCAAAACCCTAATTGGCTCTCCGGTCTCATTTTCCCCACCTCTCGCTTGATTGCTACTGGTGCCACCAAACTCCTTTCCTCCGTCTTTGGCCCCAACACTTCTTCCTCTTCGTCTTCTTCCGGCAGTTGTCCTTCTTCTGGTACGTTCAATTTCTTCTGTTTCATCAATAATGTTTTTTTTTTTATTTATTTATATTTTTTTTGAAAGTTCTGTTTTGGTTTATTGCATTATTGGTGTCATTGTGGTTAATATGGGAAGAAAACTGATAGAAGAAGAAAAAACTTGCAGAAATTAAGATTTGAAATCAGGGTAGTTATTTAGGGGTGATGAAAAAAAGGGTATGACATAGCTTCCCCAAGTGAGTTTTGTGTTTTAAATAATAGTATAGAAAATAGTATAGATGATGGGGAAGAATCGGTTTAGGGTTGATGTAAGAGGGTTGTTTAATGTCCAAAGCTTCCTGCAAAACAAAATCGATTAAGTGCTTCATGGTCGGGGTTGATTGGCCATGAGGCATTCTTATACCTAAGTTGGAAACTTCTTAGAGAGAGAAGGAATTTTGCTCTTCAGAATAGAATAAGAAAAAACTGGAGAAATTAAAATTTGAAATCAGGGTAGTTATAGTATAGATGATGGGGAAAAATCCTTGTAGGGTTGATGTAAGAGGGTTGTTTATTTCTAAAGCTTCCTGCAAAACAATATCCATTAAGTGCTTCCCAGTCGGGGTTCGTTGGCCGGAGGGCATTCTTATACCTAAGTCAGATTTTGCTCTCTAGAATATAAGTATGCATATCTTTGTTATGGGAGCTACATCACTGTTTTTATGGTATGGGATTCATTGTCATTCAAGAATTGTAATTGCATGAGAAGCTTTTCTTATTATGACCACTTCGAGAATTGGCAATTCTTTTATTGATAAGGAAGTTATCGATTAAAGGAGTTGTTTTCCTATTCTGTTTCTTCCTTGTACTGGTCATCCGAATTGGGATGTTAGTTGTGGACCCTTTGGTGCCGCCTGGTATGGGTCAGCCTCACCCAAGTCAACTAGTCTTGTCATTGGACCCAGACTAAAAATTTCCTCCTTATGAAGTTAGAGGCCCCTTCTAGTTGCTGGACGCCTTTTTTTGCTTGGAGATGGGGCCAGTCACAAACCACTCATTGGCTCTTCAATATGATCCATTTGTTTTTCTCGGTATGAACAATGTCTGTTTCTCCAAGGCTAGTCAGGTTACTCAGTTGACGTCCTCTCTTCTTTGGGTACTTGATCAACTATTTGGACTCATGGTTTGCGTACATCCATAAGTAATCACTCTGTTTCTCCTTCACCGACCTGTTTTTTCAACTTATCTCCATCCTTCATAATCAGCAGGGTTTGCGTGTTGCTCTCTTGTCATTTCAACAGTCACTTCTCATTAAATGCGGCATACACGAGTTTTCGGGAGTAGTGGATGTTGTAAATAAGATCATAGGAACCATCAATTTTGTCGTTTTCTTTAAAATCCAGAGACACTCCATTTTCATTCTCCATTTGCCCCGCGTTATGAGTTTAATGCTGAACCACACTCTACATTCTGCCATTAGCAAACTTTGAAGACTGAAGATCTTTGCTACTTGGAGCATTTTGGAGCTTCTCTCATCCTTTTCCCTGTTAACCATCCCTGTTAGTTAACTAAGATTCTCTTATCACCTTTTTCATTTTTTTTTTCATTCTACCAGCTCTTCTTTTCCTTACTTGAATGTCAATGGGTTGTCTTAGGTCCTTGGTTGATTCTCATGCTGCTGCTCTTTAGCAGGCAGTTCCAAGAGCGATGCTCCATCCTAGATGATGTTTCTCTTAGATTAGGGATGTCTAACAACCGTAGAGGGGGTGCTAAGGACAAATTGGCTTCCTTGGTAGCTAATCGCCAAAAGGTCCATTTTCTGCTTGACTCCAACGAGGGTCTGGATGGCGGTTTCATTGTTGTGGGAGGCAACTTGGAGTATGCTGATTGCGGTTTCATCAATCTTTACTATTTATTATATTAAATTAAAAGGCATTCAGTATCTAGGTTGTTTTTTAATAGCAAGTAAAACTCTAATGAGATATTGATCTGGAAGCAGCTTATCTATCTTGGTAAAGTGTGGGACCTGCATCTATCTTGGTGAGTTGTGGGACCCACTACTGCACAGACCACATGTACTTAAGAAGGAACAAAATGCTGTCACTTCTTGTGTAGTAAAGCTCGTGCACTTATAAAGGAAGGATGCCATCCATCATTTCCACTCATATACATCCTGACATGAATGTTATTATTTTATTTTTTATTTTGCAGAGGATGACATTGATGATGACAATGATAATTATCATATCCAGAGTGATGGAGTTGATGAACTGAATAAGGTACTTCACTATTTGATTTTTAATTTTGTGTTAGATGCATGGTTATTATTGGAAATTACGGCCTTGGCAACCTCACTTTTTAGCCTAAAAGCCAAAAAGTCACTAAAAAAATAAAAAAGTCAACAACCTATACCAAAAAGTCAAAGATTCTTTTTTCTTTTTTCTTTTTGTACATCTTTTCGTAAAAAATCAAAAAGTCATCCCAAACATACTAGTTTTTTTTACATCATATTTTAACCAAAAAATCAAAAATTTACTAAAAAAATCTGTTCCCAAACGAGGCCTAAATGATCAGAAAATAATGCACTTACTAAACATGCTTCCAAATCTCAAGTGATTTTCATTTTACTAGTATGTTGAGAGGTTTGAAATTAGCTCAAAGACAGTGGGTTGCGTTTCCTTCAATAATTCCTTTAACAATTATTATTATTCCTCTTTTTCATTGCACCCTTCTAATTGTGGTTTAAACAGCCTGTTCCACTGGGGATTTCGATATTAATATGGTTTATTGGGGTGTGTTTGTTTTGATTTTAAGATACTTGCTGCAACCACACAATAACAGCTGATGTTTAACTCAATAGACCAGTACATGTAATTGTCTCTGTTCACATTGGGGGATTTATAGGTATATATATAATATAACTATTAAAAACACAGAATTTTATGACATTATTGTTTATATGATACTGTTTTTGTTATATTAGAAGAACGGAACTACATCAGAATTGATCGGATGCTTTAGAAAGGAGCCCCCGACTAAACTCTAAGCAAAGAGTGAACCAAGCCATGTTATAGAAACACTACTTATGCAGGAGACTTTCTCAAGGTAATGAGAAAACATGAGATTTTTTATTTTTGTTTAACTTGTTTTTGGGCTGTTTTTTACTCTCTTTTTAATTTTTTATTAAACTGCCATGTTTTTTGTTTGTTTTCTGTTATGGCTTTTATTCCTCCTTATCTGATACCCAAAAGTTCATTTATTTTTGGTGAACTACAAATCAGCTTTTGCGATTTTTCCTGTAACTGTGTGAAATGTTTTGGCTCGTAATTTTCATATATGTCCATAAAATCTGTTCACGCTATTGGAGTCAATATATGCATATATTATTTTGTTGTACTTATTGGATTTTCATAGGCTTGTAAAATTTATTGCACTCCTCGTGTGACTAGCTAACTGCATAATCAACTTTGAAGAATTGACTAAGAAATTGATTGATCGTAATTTTGAAGATTCAGGAACCTAATGTTGATTCATGTGGTTGTTGTTGTTGAGTATCAAGATTCACAGAAAGAAATGATCTTCAAATCAGTATAGGCAGTGGTTGTTCTTTCTTTATTTTGATACTTTTAGGGCATATATAAATTCACTTTCTTTGTCATTTTAATCTTTTCATTTTGGTTAATTTGCACCATTGTCTTTGGATTGTTTTGTTGATTGTTTTTATTTTTATGCTTTCCTTCTAAATTTGGTGGTTAGAAGGATTTAGAATTATTATACTAAATTACAAACTGTATATTAGTCCACAAAGAGTGTGGTTACTTTGGAGGGAACTGTAGAATATTTGGGATAGGAATTGTAAAATGTTGATGTGGTATTCCAGACTACAGGTCTGGTGGCTTTCAGTGCTCTTGCTTTCACAATTTCAAACAGAGGCTAAACACATTTTAGAGCCTCTGCTTTAATGGTTCTTTTTGTTTGGGTGTGCATTTGATGTATAGTTCATAATTACGCAACATTGTTCATCTTTTATTTTTTGTTTCTCACCAAACTCATTCAGATGTTGTGTTGATACACAAGCTTTTAAAATAATTAAACTCTTATGTTCGGTTGGGAGAGACAGATGGAGGGATGGAGAGGCTTTAAGAAAAAAATTCAAATAATTTTCCAGATGGTAATTTACAAATAGATGAAGAAACAGTAGATTCAACCTAGATGTGATGCTAAGAGGGGAAAGCAAATTTTAAAAAAAAAAAAAAAAAGAAAAGAAAAAGGAAAAAAATGGAGAACCATTGTGTGTGTTTGGTTTGAGTTTTTTGGACTAAGTTTTTTGAAAACTGAGTTTTTTGTTTTTCGTGTTTTTAGTGAATATTTTTAAAATTTTAAGCTTTTTTTTTTTACTTTTTTAGATGCACTTTACTTAGATGTATCTAAAAAGTAAAAAGTTTGTGAAAAATTATTTTAAAAAATTAATAAATACATAAAAATATGAAAAATATATTGAATTCTCGTTTTATTTATTTATTTATTTATTAGTATTTTTGGTATTTAGTGAATTTTTAAAAGATTTTTTTCACAAAATTATGGGTATGTTTGGTTTGCATTTGGGAGATGAGTTTTAGAAAAAAATTTCTAAAAAGTTGTTTAGTTTAAGTTTTTCTAAAAAAATTTTCAAAATTACTTTCTTTCTCTTACACATCAATCAATCATTTTTTCTTTCTCCTCCCTCCTTCTCAATCACTTTTTCTCTCACACACATTTACTCAAATTCTCTCCAAATATCAAATCATCCCAAACTCCCAAAAAAATAACTCCCCCAAAATATACAACCAAACAAACCAAAAAAATTTCTAAACTCTCCCCAATTTTTTTTTCAAAAACAACTCTCCCAAAAACAAACCAAACAAGCCCTATACTTTTTATGTGTATTTATGTTAGGTGTGCAGTAAAAAAATTCAGTAAAAACAAAAAAATATGAAAAATAAGAAAGTAGAATTTTCTAAAAAGTGTTTTTGGAAAACCAAAAACAAGCAAAGTGATTATGACCCAGCAATTTAGTAAATTAAAGACAGTCTTGGATGCATAAAGATATATGGGCTGTGAGTATCTGAAGGAACCAAAAAGTCATGGTACAAAAAGTTTACTCTTTGACTACCCTTAAATTTGAAATTGAAGTTTTATGGCTTTTAGTACATACCCTTGTATATAATTGTCGAAAAACTATATAAATTTGACAGAGCCCCTTCTATCTGAATGTTTTGTTTCCTAATGATGGCATTGGAATGAAATGAAAACCCATAATTTCCACACTAGAAGTTCTAGTATGAATCTCCAGAAGTGGTAATTCGTAATTGGATATGCTGTGCTCTTGTTTATTCTGACAAATAATGTTTCTGCTGATTATTCTGCCCTTACTTCGCTTCTTAACTACAGTCCAAGTTTTCAAGTTCTGAATGGATGTTAACCTTTACCAGGGAAGAATGTGATAGACTAATAAAGATTATTAATTCAAGAGTTATAGATGATTCCACCATAGAAGAGGGACAGGATGCGAGATTAGGTGGGATACCCAGCAGAACAATTGGTAATGGTGTTTATAATACATCATGCACAGATAGTCGTGATCTGTGCAGTAAAGCTGTCATGGAAGCCAAACAATGGTTAGAGGAAAAGAAAGTGGCATCAAGTTCAAAATTGGACTTGGATCATGGAATCTGTGCACTTAACTCTGTTGTGCTACCACAGGTTAGTAATTCTTTTGTATGATCTTTTCTGCTAGACCTTCACTACTATATACGCCTATCACATATCCTTTATGTGGTGTACCAGATTTTGATGATTTATTCTTGTTATATCAATTGTATGCATATAATTTATTTACTTTTATTTTGGTTTAAAATGAAGAAAATACACTTCAGAGGAAAATACAAAATTATTGATGTTTTTATTTTATAATATTTGGCTTGATGTCGGGCCAGTCTGGGCTTGGGCATAGTATTTCTTTGTTTTTCTAGCTCAGGTCTGGCCCCAAAACCCAGCCCGGCAGCCCTACCAAAGTACTTGTGTTGCAATACTGAATATTTCTCAATGCAGGTTACTAAAGGTGGATTGGGCTCACCAGTGGATATGGCCAAATGGTATATGCAGGCCCGTCCTCCTTGGGCATCTCCTTCTAAAGATTACGTTGAATTCAGAACTCCATCACCAATGGGAAGAGAGATTTTGAAGGAAGAAACACCATTTATTGCTGGAAATGCTCTCTCCTCATCAAAGGTGCTGTGATTTTATTCAATATCTTCTTTTTTACTGGTTTTTGATTTTTTGATTTCTATTGTACGTGGACGGTGTTCCAACCTTAATTTAAATGTCTGATTTGTTTAACATGATGTCTAGTGAAATGTGCTTTATAGAAAGATAGCCCAAGCCAGATTAGTGAAAACTTTGTCAAGCCTCTCCCAAAAACTAAGCCCCCACCTTATTTGACGTGGGTTCGTTTAGGAGTCGAGCTTTTTTTTAGCATTCCTCTCGTATGTTCAGGTCTTTCCGAAAGCTAATTTGTTTAGGTTTTATTAGAGAACCAATTCTTCCAGGGCGATGAAATAGAAACTAAATCATGAAATCCATTGTTTAACAACTGGACTTGATGATCTCACACTTCTGTCCATAGTGGTCTACATGGTGTTTTGACTTGTCTACCTTCAAAGGCCTTCTATGCAGTTTTACTAAAAATGCCTTTCAAGATCATCTTCTTCTAACCAAGGTTGTCAATTAATATTTCACAGTCTCTTGTGTTATTTCTCATCAAGCTTTTTTCCTTCAGTTGACTTCATGTTTTCCTTAAAGCATTTGAGGATGCACCTTTTGCACAAGGTAGTCACCTTTTTATTTTATTTTATTTATTTCCCTCCGCTGTGTGTGTATGTGTGTGTGTAATATATATGTTCACGTTGTTTATGTGAACATGTTGACACAAACCTGCCATTATGTTGCTCTAAGGGTCTTCGTTGTGGGAGGTGTAATAGTTCATCTCAATTATCTTATTAGGAATCCAAGGGTGCAGTTTTTTTTCCATTGTCCACTTTTATTACTAATTAGTTTGCACTTTATAATCGAAAAAGCTTGATTGCTTTTTGGGAAACATGAATTTTATTATGTTCAAAATGACTTATTTGTTGCTTGAAATTGAATCCCTCCCAACTTCATTGTTTAGAAAGATAAAAGAGGGAGAATACATGGATGTTTTATTTTCTAAGTTCCTGTTGACTTTGACCTTTGGTGGTTTATGTAATATGAGTCGGATGCAGCAGAAAATGTATTCTCTTGCCAGTGGATCATGGAATATTCAGGAGGAAATACGGAGAGTGCGTTCTAAGGCAACAGAAGACATGCTAAAGACCCCCTCATCTACAAAAATTGATATGTCATCATTTGCTCTGGAACCTAAAAGCTTCCAAAAATCCTTGCTGTCTGGCAAAACAGAATTGGGTAGGGGAGACAAAGTGAACGACTTAAATTTGTTACCAGCAACAAAATCAATAGATGTGTCATCAGAATTGGTTGCAGGAGTGACTACTTGTCAAGGCTTACCAGGTTCGATTCATTCTGTAAGAGAAAAACTTGTCCGGTTGTTCGAGTAATCTGTTGTTCTCTTGAATAGAGTAGATATCAAGTATCATTTCAGTTTCATAATATATGAAAAATAAAATTTAGAAAACCCAAGACATTGAATCTTTTGTTTTGCAGTTTCAGTTGTAGAGATGACACAAGATAGTTTGCGGAATGCAGATTTGTCATCGCAGCCAGTTATGTTTTCTTCAGCACAAAATCAGGTACCTGATTAGTGGGACTTGATTTTTTATAATTTTGTTTATCACAATTGTTTTTGTTGAACATGAGAGGTATCCAACTTGGTTTGTAGTTTTATTTATCTATAAAAAGTTTCAACTATCTAATATCTCTTCAAAGAATTGTATATATAATTCAAGTTGCAGGAACATAAAGTATTAAATGACTAAACTAATTTTTGTCTTTATAAAGGATTCGGAATCCATTTGGACTGTTGAGGGAGAAGAACCTGCTGCTTCTAAATCTCCGAATCTTGCCTTAGAGCAAGGTAGGTTGCCTCTCTGTTTTTTTTGGCAATAAGTCTGGAACTTTATTTTATGTCATATTGTTTAGGTGATGCAAATATCATGCCCGGAAAGTGGGGGCAATTTCTATAAAATAAAGGGGGGGTTAGTTTATTCAATTAATTTTGTCAGATGTCTCCACAAGGGAGTTTCTGAGTTTATAATATCCTGATCCCCTCCCCTCTCCCCTCCGCTCATCCTTGAGCAGAAAGATCTGCACTTACATCATTTTTGGTTATTGTCCTAGTCTCTTAATGACATTTTTACAATTTTCTTTTAATATATTTAATTATTTATTTATAATTTGTTCATCTTGCTGCTTTATACCTCATCTTAGCTCTGAATGTATCTACAGATTTAAGATCAAGTGACAGAACTTGTTCTAATGCCAAAGAAGAGACTGAATCGAGAGGCAAACAAAATGCTAACGGTTTCCCTTATTCAGGATATAGGTGAAAGGCTGACTGATTCCGTTCCTTCCATTGACATATTTGAGTGAATTGGATCTAAATAATTCTGGTTTTCTTTCATTCAGTTCGTTTGCAGGAGATACCAAAGCAAACCCTAGACCCTCAGATGACAAGAACCATGACAAGTTGGCTAATAAAGTCCCCCCTGGGGAGGAGACATGTAAGCTTTTGTGTGAAGCTTCCGTTGATGTCCCAGTTTTATATGAAACCAATAGCGTTGCAAGTGGCTCTGATCACAGTTCTAGCATGCCTCGTGAGGAGTTGTCGCAGGAACTGAATCCAGAACGCAGCTTGATGGGCGAAACCACGAACATGGTTGAAAAACAACAGGGGAGGTATCCGAGCAGGCACAACAGAAAAAGCAGGGGAAGGGGGCAGATGAGATGAAATTGTGGTTTTTGTTTCGTTGTGCCATGTCTGTTGTACATTAGCCCCATAGATGGGATATTCTAGGCAAGACCCTGTGTAGGATTGTAGGAAGACTTACGTCTACTTGTGTTGTGCTTTCTCAAATTGGAATGTTTTGATGTTTACAATATTTGCTAAGCACTTCGTTTTTATGATTAATCAAGTTAGTGTTAGCTGTCTTCGAGATTTCACATAAGAATTATCAATCAGTTTAAATTTTACATGCAAATGCTATTAGTTTGTTGGTAAGATTGCATAGCTAGCAGTTGGGTACATAATGTGATTGTAATTTTCTTGTGAACATTTTTTTGCAATTTCTTCTTTCCTCTGTTGCCTCCTTTGAGGCAGCCTTGGGCATATTTTCAATGTTCAAAAACAAAAACAAAAACAAACAAGAACTGTTACCTTTTCTTTATAAATTCAAGATCTATGTACAGCTTAGATGGTGTTCCGTTAACAACATATTATAAAATAGAAATTTGAAGTCGTTACAAAACTATTGAAAATAATTTTAGTGGTACCAAGGATTTGAATATTTTGAGATTTTTGTTTCTTTTATAATATTGAGGAAGTAAAACATATATTTTTAAAAAAAAAGTGTTTCTTCTCCGTAGACATAATTTTTAAAAAAAAAATAAAAAAATAAAAAAAGAAGAAGAAGAGAGAGACTTGGATTGGAGTGTTGAATCCAGTCTTGAGTGTTGACTTTCATATTGATAATGATTTATTTATTATATCAGATCACATAATTTTATCACATTTATTTTTAAAAATTAAATTACAAGTGTTATTTTAAAAACAAATACTTTACTTTTTAAGATAAATTTAATAAAACTATACCAATTTGATTATATAATCACTTGATAGTTTTCATAAACTATCTATATACACCCAAATAACATAAAAGTTAAATTTTTTTTTTAAATGAATTTAGGTACTGAATTCAACCGTCTAATTTATTAAAATTTTAACTTACATAATTTTTTTAAATTAAATTAAAAATTGATAATCACAAAGTTAAAATTAAAAACACTGTATCCGGCATTTAAAGAAATTATTATATAAAAAAAATTATAAACAATTTTTAATAACATGCAGCAAAAAGAAGTCCACTCTAATCCATTGAAGTGAACTGAAAATTAAAAAAATAAAATAAAATTACAGAATAAGAACAACGACCCAATGCAGTGCCACTGACACTCAGAGCAATCGAAGTGAGAGAAAAACAAAGCTCTCTTACGACAGAGAAATCGAAAGCAAACCCACAAAAAATAACAGAAACAATTCGAATTCCAAGAAGAAGAAGAGCTACGAAGGTCAGAATTCAACGAATCATTGCACACACACACACACAGAGGTTCGTTCTTTCTCTATCTCTGTGTCTCTGTTGGTGTGTTTGTATTTTGCTTTTCCGATTTCTCTGTTATGCAAGTTCGAAACTTTTGAAGTCACGTCCCAACCCAGAAAGTGTTCCCTCTGATCTCTTTAGTTTCACTTCAACTCGCGATCTCAAGTGTGTTGCATCGTAGAATTTCGGTTTAGGAGTCGTTGTTTTGAATAAATGGAGTGTCTTTGGATGGTGCAGCCATGAAATTTACGGGTTTCTCAGCTAATGAATTTCTGTTATGGAGATTTAAAGTTTAGGGTTTTGATATATGAAGAATTTTGAAGATGGGTTTTAAGTAAATATTAGGGATTTGTAACTGAGCTTGATCTCTGCTTGGGTTTGTAATTTGGTTTCTAGGGCTTCTGTTTTTGGTACTAGGATGAGCTTTGACTCTGTATTTTATGGTCTATGGATGGATGAATTTGGGGTTGTTTGGATATTGAGCTAACCGTAACTCTGAAGGGTTTGGGGGGAGTTTATATATATCTGTTGTATGAGTTTGTTCGCTGAGAAATGCATCCCCAGAAGTACTCCCGAATCGATGTGGCTGATTTGAAGGCTCAGATAGTGCAGAAGATTGGACCCAAAAGGTTCAAGCAGTACTTTTATTACTTGACTAGATTCTTGAGTCATAAGTTGACTAAGATTGAGTTTGATAGATTGTGTGTTTGGGTGCTCGGGAGGGAGAATCTACCAGTTCATAACCAATTTATACGTTCGATCTTGAAGAATGCATTTCATGCAAAAACCCCACCTTCAATGCATGAAGTGGGACCCACAAAATCTTCTGTAGTATCTGGAAAAAGTTCTCCCACTATTGAAGATGGCCATGAACAAAATGGGTTGTTTGTTCCAAATCAAACATCAAGTGTGCCGATTTGGTCGAATGGGGTTGTTTTACCAATGTCCCCAAGAAAGGGTAGGTCTGCGATTCGTGATAGGAAACTTAAGGATCGGCCCAGCCCTCTCGGATATAATGAAAAGGCATATGTTGCATCTCATCAATCAACAACTACAGAAGACAGTGTTTTCAAAACCCTCATGGAAAATGGGAATTTGGTTCCATGCGACTACCAGAGGCCAGTGCAGCATATTCAAGGACTCGCTGAGCAGTCTGAAAATGGAAGACCTAGAATAGAGAACTCAACTGGTGCTCCGTTTTCTCTACGTAGCAAAGGTCAAATTGAAGCGGCTGTTGTTGAAGATGGGGAAGAGGTGGAACAGGCTAGCCATTCGTATATCTCTAGAAGTTCTCTTGTTGCTCCTCTTGGGATTCCGTTTTGCTCGGCTAGTGTTGGAGGGTCCCAGAAAGCATTACCCTCGGCCAGCACTAATTATGATGTTTTCTGTTTTGACAGTGGGGGTTTGTCTGATACAGAAACACTGAGGAAACGGATGGAGCAGATTGCACTGCTACAAGGCCTCGGAGGAGTTTCTATGGAATGTGCTAATGTGTTGAATAACATGTTGGATGTGTACTTGAAGAGGTTGGTCAGGTCTTCTGTGCAGTTGGTTGGGGTGAGTTCTGGGTATGAGCTAAAAAGGCAGCCTGCCCCCAAACATCAGATTCAAAGCAAGCTTATTAATGGTATGTTGCCTAGTAATCACGTGCATAAGCAAAGCAATGGTGGGCCCCCAGAAGCCGTGCAAGAATGCAGACCAATATCATTGCTTGATTTCAAGGTTGCAATGGAGTTAAATCCACAGCAACTTGGAGAAGACTGGCCATTGTTGCTGGAGAAGATATGTATGAATGCATTTGAGGAATAGCACACCCAAAAAGATATTGGTGTTTCCTTGGCTTGAGATCTGAGAGACATGGTTGATGCAGCCATATTTCTTTTTATGGCCACGGTGAACCAGATGACTTCTTCTCAGATGTAGCTTAGACCCTTGCAAGATGAACAATGGATCCGAGCTTGCCACATCCCCATGTTCGGTTGCCATCTAAGGGCAATTTCGTGCAGAATGCCGGTGTTTGGTTGCACTGTTGTATGTTTAGCATTTGTGTTGGCTGTCTTACGTTGTCACTGAAGATCTTCTGTGTAAATTACAGCCAATGAGGAGGAAATCTTAAAAAGTTTTGCAGGGGTACTGCTGTGTAGCTTGGTGAAAGGTAAAAGTCGCATTGTAAAAGCTGCAAAATTACTCTGTATGTATTTTTTTTGGGTACATTAGAGGGGGAGGGGGAGTTGAACCTTGACCTCCTAGTGAGGCACGTGGGTTCTGGCCACTGGGCTAACGCCAGTGGTGCTCTGTATTTTCAAATATGAGAATTGATTGAAATCACAATATCAATAACATCGACATACATTGAATTCTTCTTTATGGTTTAAATTTGAATGTTTCTTCTAGATGACAACTGAAAATTTACGTGTTCAAATTATATCACATTGATCTTCTGTATGCATGGGGATATATGATCTGTTGTTGCGATTTACTGCACTTTCTTGGCTTTCAAATGTAGTCAGACTAAACTTCTTGCATATTTCAAGTTTAGACTAGTAAAATTAGCTATCCGTGTTCCGAAGGATTGATGCCATAAATGTTCTTTTTTCAAAATGTTGTTCATGATACTGTCATTATTCATTCCTTTCGAAAACCTTAAGAATGAGAAATATCTCTACAGCTTGGTACATTGATTGGACTAATTTGGACATGATGAGGTTTGTAGCTGGCATTTTGCACCAAATTTCAACTTACTGAATTGATAATGACAATTTTATGATGGGGTAATGTACCACGAGTAAGGAAAAAAAGAGGAAAGATTTTAAATGGGGAAATAATCGTGCACATCATTCACTAGGAAGCCGCAGTTTTCATTCTGGAATTATTCAAAATGATTTTGAACTTCATGAGATATATTAAAGTTCTTTCAGAATGTGGTATAATAATTTTTTTTCTTTTTTAGACTATTCAAATACAGTATAATATCATGTTAGTTATTTTTATTGGAAAAGTGAAGCATTCCCTGTGTCCCCTATCAGGATGGTAAATTTTTGTTACATTCAATCCTTGCTACTTCCAAGGAGTGTGCTCATACAAAGAACTGAATATTTTTGTCCTGTATTACTCAATAAAGGTAATCTTTTTAGGTTTTTTAACCACCTCTTTCTCTCTCTCACCTCTCTCTAGGTTTTCCTGCTTATCTTTACCGCTAATCCACAGGATAATATCAGTGGAGAGCTCAAAGTTATTGGTTGCATTGCTGAGTGCACATGTGGTGAATTTTTTGACTCTGGAAACAAAGTAAGGTGTTGGGGACAAAAATAAGAGTACAGTAATGGTTATTTCATGCCATGCTTCTTCAGAGTTGAAGCGGAAGTTCTTGTGAAGAAATTTTGTTTGATTCTCTACTTAATTGATTTTCATTTGGTGTCAAAGACTTCTTTTTATCCCACATTTTTTTTTTCTTTAGCCATGTAAACTGGATTCATTTTGGTCTATGCTGCTTTTCTTATTACATCAAAATAATGTTATCATGTCACCTGTTCCTTGTGGAATCAATATGTTAAATATATAAATGAAGTTTGAGCTGGTAAGATTGCAGATTGCACTTCTGTGACAGACATTTGTAACAGAAAGCTGATAGGTGGAGAAAATGCTTGATATGCATATTGCATCAATCACTCCCAAAGAAGATAACATTTGGATTTAGAAGTTTGCAGTCCTTTTTTATTTTTCCATTTTCCTTTTCTTTCTCTTGTTTCTATAGTTGTTCAGGTACCTTCCTGGGATTCCTGTTCGAATTTGACTTGTTATCTTTTATTCTTCCTATTTATCAAAAAAAAAAAAAACTTTTATTCTTCCTGCTTATTAGGTATTCACTTGTCTAAGAGTAAGCTTTTTTAAAAGAAAGATACTAAAACCTATCTTTATCAATCAATCTCACTCATCTTAAAGATGCGACATCACATCCAATTTGGGCTCTTATACATACTGCCTTCAGCGAGAATTCAATGTAAGTTTGCTTCTAGCATTATGTTAAGAGTTCCATCCTTCCTTGCTTTGGTTTTATTTCTTATCAATTATTTGCATGCATTTTTTGGGCTCTTATACAAACTGCCTTCAGCGAGAATTCAATGTAAGTTTGCTTCTAGCATTATGTTAAGAGTTCCATCCTTCCTTGCTTTGGTTTTATTTCTTATCAATTATTTGCATGCATTTTTTGTCTTTTATTTTTTCGACAGTCCATTTTTCTGGCACTCTATTAGTTCTATCCTGACTACTTTAGTTTTATTTTTAGTCAATCAGTTCTACACTTTGTAAACCTTTGGACATAACCATGCAACTTCCTAACTGCTCTGCGTAGAATTGATATTGTATACTTTTGGACATCCCTAAAATCACAAAATTTATTACTTCATTATAATTACTAAAAATGTAGTTGTTAAAAATACCTTAAAAACAACAGCTAGAGGGGAGAGAACAGGAGAATAATTACTATCATACTCCAAATTAGTGTCATTTAGTCACTAGGAGAGAATTAGAACATCACATCAACTCTTTGTCAATTGGAGATGCTAAATTTTGGAAAAACAACGGTTCATTGGATTCCTGGTCATCCTTTGATATACATTAATAATGAGCCCACATGAAAATTTGCATAATAGTTAAAAGGGTTTTGGGAAATGGATTGACCTTTATTCTTCTCTTTTTTTATAGCTATCATGAAGCCTGAATGATAGGGGGAGAAAATAAGACTGAAGAGTATCTGTCTATGGTGTGTGTGGGTATGAGTATGGGTTTGTGTAAATGTGTGAGTTGGATATGGAAATTGGAACTTGAAATGATATATTGGAATTGGGCTGGATCACTGTTGTAATGAAATGGCAAGGAAATGCTTATGATCGTATTAAAATGGAATGTTGATTGACATACATAGTGAGATATGAAGATTTAATATGTTTTTCCCATACCTTGCACACTTAGACATGTCACCATACTGATGTTTACTTTTGCTAGAATTATTCTACTGCGCACATTTTCCTCACACCTACAGTTTAGAGAGAGGAAACTGAGGCCTAGACTAGACCGCATAAAGAGATGCATTTGTTTTTGGACATTCTTTTTATTTTTTGTGTAGCTGACTTTAACATGGATTATGTTTTTGATGAAAACAGGTTTTTTGAGCATCTTTCTTGGATAGAATGGATTGTATGATGGAATATGGAGATGAATGCTTGGAACATTCAACATTTGGGTATTATGGCATGCAGTATATGGAGGTTGCTTCTTTCCTTTTTGATATCCTTGATAACACATGTTAGTATAGTTGTGGAAAGATTTGGAGCTTGATTTACGAACATTTGTTTGGGAAAACATTTTGTAAAAACTTTACTTTGAAGCTTTGTTTTTTTGGTAATTATTATTTCAAAGTATACATTTTGAATTTTATTTGTATTAGAACTTGCGGATTCGTATGATAACTATAGTGGAGGTTGAGATAATGCCTCTTACCTCATTTGGTTGCTTCTGTGCAAGTCAGGGGCCTTGAACTTTGCCCAAATGAGTTCCAGCGCGATGCTGGTGCAAATTGTTGACAAAAATGAAGCCAAAATCATTTTTTTCCCCTTTTCACTTTGGTGCTTGAGCATCGGTCTGCTACTTTGTGCAGTTTTGCCCTATTTTTGACTGGTGCTGGTGGGTAAGCAGGTGGAGGACGGGAAGGGGTGGCAGCTGGTGACTGGCAGAATTGAGTTGCAGCTGGATGGGGTGGGTGTGGAGAGTTTGGTTTAAAATTCTAAGAATTTTTTGTACTTAAATGGTAATTTAGTTTGGGGTAAAATTGTGCAGAATGTAAAGATTAAGTGGTGTGTAAATAAAGGGTCATCTTTTATGGAGAAATATCTTCAATGACTCCATGAGGAAAAGCTAATTTTTAACAGGATAGAAATTTTCATAGCTTGAGAAACCAAACAGGAAAAGGAAAAAGAAAGAAAAATTGAAAAAGAAAAAAAAAAGCAAAAGAATTTCAAATTAAAAGAAGAAGAAAGAGTGGAGGAAAATTTGTGAACCTCATTCAACTGATGTGGAAGTGAATATATATAGATTCCCCTTCACATCAAAATGACAAGTAATAGAATGTTCTGATTGGATGTTTTACAAAAATTGTTTCTATATTTTACTTATTTTAGACATTCCAAGAAATTATTTATATTTCTAATTTATTTTTTTTCAACGATTTTAAAGACTTTATCTACAACTTGCATACTGTCGACTCTCCTTGCAAGTTGCACATCAGGTCTACCAATTCACAAGTAAAATTCTACAAAACTCCCAACCAACTAAGCAAGAAATCTTTTAGTAATTTGTGTCTTTCCATTGAATGTTAAATGGAAGTGAATTTGGGAGTTTCCCACTACCACAAAGCCAAAGAAGGCCTGGGCTTATTGTTTATAAATCAAATGAAAAGGATTTCTATGTACATATATATAATCCAAAGAAAATAAGAAAATCTAAAATAAATTGACGCACATGATTTGTGCAGAAGACCAAATGTCAGAACCCTATTTCTTTTTTATTTATTTATTTATTTTTTTGGTATATCAACTATTACGAGGGTGAGGATGACGGTGCAGGCCCTGCCGATGTCTTGCAGATAGGGCACCAATTCTTCAGCCGCAGCCACTGGTTTATGCACGACATATGAAACCCATGCTCGCATCCCAATCTTCCAACTTCATCTCCAATGGCGTACTCTTCCTGTAAAACAGACGTGTCACTAGCGATACCATCACAAAAATAAATAAAATAAAATAAAACAAGAAAGAATTTCAACAGAGAAGGGATGGATGGGTTGTTGCACTTCATCCAGACATCATTTGGATTCCATTAGTAATGAGGATTCAGAATATCAGACATTGATAAAGATTGATTCTTTGGGATCCTTCCTTTCTTCAAACAGAAGGAACGAAGACAGAATATCAAATTTGGTTTATTTTATGTTGCTTCGTATTTAAGTCTACTAGTTTCGTCATTATTTATAACCGTTCTTTACTTGGGCAGCTGAAATCTTTCTATTCCATGCATATTTGTTCCTAAATGGATAACGAGGATGGACCAGCAGTTGTCAGATGGTTATGACACCCTATCTTTAGAGATAAAGAACAACTGCTGCAAAACAACAGTTTTAAACCAAATTGGGTCACACAAGTGCAAGTGCATGAGGGTCAGGCAGGCTGCGGCCCCCACTACATCCAGCAAGCCTTCCCAACGAATATTAGAAAGTTGCAGGTGAGGTGAATTACAGACAAAAGAATCAGTTGATTCAAGAAAACTTAGTAATCATAGGAACAAGACCTGACAAATACTGCATTTGGTATCATCTTCATCTCCATCCTCACTGCATCCCATGGTTCCTTCTTCGGGAGTAGTAGTCTGATAGATGCTTCTCTTAAGACATTTTAATAGTGCTTCTTCTGACAGTGCTGTGCTCACGTTACCCATCTTCTCTTCTAGGGCCAACAATTCCTGTTAAAAGCAAAATATCATATAATAGAAACAGAAAATACATTCATTATAAAAAATGGTTTCCCTCTCTCAAATGCGCCAGACAAACCATTTTTTACATATTTACAAGAGGTGTTGTCGACAGTACATGAGTCAAAGGAATTACAGCTATCAAGATGAGCTGCTCCAAAAAAATAAAACCATAAGCACAAAGAAAAGTCCAAAAGAACCAGACTTGTATATTCTAAAAACCTACGAAGCATGGATACAGATGTGGTACATTGAATTAAAAAAGAAAGTGAGAAAAAAAAAGCTTTTATTATAATGTTATATACATGAGCTCAAACTATTCTTTACGAATTGGATATTAGTTTAAGAGCCAATGCATTAATTTTATACAATCTGAAAAAATAGGAAACTACTTTAATCTTACTATTTTCTTTTTGGGTAAGAAATAAGAAAATATTGAGAAATTATTATTGTATTTATTCTAATAATTATACCCTATAATACTATACAAAATTATTACAATCTCAATTTCATAATAGTTTGGATGTGTCCAGAGTATCAAATACTCCTCAAAATTAACATATAAGTATAGACTATGTTTATGAAGTATCGGATATGTATCCGCGAACCGAAGAGTAGCAGTATCTGATATGACTCCCTTTTAGAAGTATCGTCATAGTTGGAAACAATTCCGAAGCATCAAGTCGAAGAACTATAATAGAAGAATGACAAACCTCATATGACATGTTATCAATGTCCAGTCTCATGTCTCTATGCTGATCATAGAAGCCAAAGCCACCGAGTAATAAATTTGTCTCAAGAGCAAGTAATTCCTGCACGACAAAGAACCAGGGTTAACAAGCAAATGACCAATATGGAGAACTCAAGAACTGAAAAACCCAATGACCAAGTACCGCATATGTTATCTCCTCATCTTGTTCCATCCTCTCGAGCGTGGATAATACCTGCACATGGCAAGAGAATCGTAAACAAACCATTTTTATAACAAAATAAATAAATAAATAACAAAGTGACTTTTTTTTTTTTTTTGCCTCTTCCTTCCCTCTCTGCAATGTATAATAGTATGAAAGGATATATAATTCATGCCAATTTTAAACTACAAACAATATACCTCAGTAATCCCATCCATGTTATATCGCGGCAAGCCATCATCATGGCTAAAAGAAGTGGAACGACTTGAAGAAGCTTCAGATGAAAACTGATGTGATGAACTCTGAACATCCACAGCAACGGGTAATTCTCGTTGAGGCACTTGTGGGCGTGGGGCGACAACATGGAGCTCCGTTGGTGACAATCTGTTTCCATTTTTTCGGTTAGAAGAAACACTAGCCCTATTGTTCCCATTAACTGACCTCTGAGTCCAAACCGATCCCACACTTTGAGATGAATTTCTGGCTCGTCTTGAATCAGAAATAGAGATGCCATAGGTAGAAGTCGAACTATGATTGTCTTCAGACAATGGTCCAATCGTCTTCTTACCTCGAACAGAGAAACTGCTTTCTATTTCAGGATTTCTCTTTTTCATCATATCCTTTCTTCTAGTAAGGTTTGATTCAGATAACGAACAACCTGAGGTGACAGCATCGGATGTTGAGTTGCATCGATTATTTCTCAAACCATACTTGCTCGCACTAGCACTGTTTCTTGGCCCTGGGCAGGGGCTTTTAGATGCCAATGGAACAGCAGGACCCAATGGACTATCTCGGGAATCTATCGCAGATTTCGGCCGAAATACCTTCGGAGGTCTACTATTTGATGCTATACTAGAGCTCCCTACTTCAATTGATCTAACTTTGCCAGACTCGGTACCAATCTGAGCCCTTCCAGGTGAGGAGACAACATCTGACCCAACTGGCCCATCCCGAACACTACTAGTTTCAGATGAATCTGTTTCCAATTGAGAAGATAGCTTTTTCTGGGATACCTGAAAAGATTTTCTTGTGTTGGGTACCACAGAACAAGTCCCAGAGGAACTTCCAATTATCTCCTTGCCACTTGAAGCTTGGAAAGGCGGCCTTGTTGATTTGGACTTTTCAGATAATCCACTTTGTTCACTTTTGGTATGCTTAAGTCTGCCTTTGCATCCACGTCGATTGCAAAATTGAGCATTTGTATCCTTGCTTTCTGCTGCATCTCTCAAAACAAGACCAGATCGCTTCCTGGGGACAACAAGACCATCAACAGCTCTTTTACCAGAATACTCTTCCATTTATACTAGCATATGCTCTATATATCTGTAACAGTGATATGTGCAAATTGTCAAGACCTTCAGAAACAGTACTAAATTTCAACTTTTATTCTGAAAACAAAATATTACGACCTTACATTTTTCATAATGCTACAAGTAAATTAGTTCAAGAAGACCCTAAATGAAAGCATGCCTAGTTGAATTGTCATAGTGACTATCATTCCTGGAAATTTGAAATATGTCAGAAAGAATTAATTAGCTACATAAATAATATTAAATTTATACTAAGAACTCAAGGGCTATACCACTGAGCTATTTGTTTCAGATAATGAACATTGTAAACTCTACCCTTGTAAGAAGATAAGCCAAGTAAACAGCCTAGCAATCTAGCGTGTACAGAAACCCTTAAAACTTGTGATCAAGAGAGATGTAAAAGGCTTGATGCTATAAGAAAGTAAAGCTTCATAAACAGGAGAAATTAAACACTGATTGAAACTTGGAAAGAAATCTAGACACGCAAATTCATATGTCACCATCCATAATTGCACTTTCACATTGACATATCATTCTTGTTAGAACACAAGTTATGACTAATAAATTGACCGTTTCAAATGGTCAATCTAGTAAAACTACCAAACTATAAATCACACACTAACTTAACAAAGATACACTATTGCTCCTAAAATATTTCTTTCACTCCATCTTTTTTATAAAATTGTCAGTGACAGAAATTCCCCTGCTTCTAAAATTGACTGTTCAGTGCAGAAGAGAGACACTGTAGTGGATTGACCATTTGAAACGGTCAATTTATTAGCAAAGTTCAAAGGACGAGTTAGTTTTTTGTTTTGCCTTCTTCATATACACTAAACTTTATTCATGATCCCTCTTTATAAAAACCATTTTGGTAGGATGGAAAGGAGGGGAGAAGGGAAGTAAGTAACCTATGCTAGGGAATGGGGATCTCTGCCTTTAAAATTCACTATATTATAACCTTAATAAAAAAAAAAGGCTAAGGAAGAAGTGCTAGGACAAAATGATAAATTCATAAACTTTAAGAACCAACCAACTCTAATGTCCATAAACTCAAGTCAGTATAGATACATGTGTTATATTTGCTGGATTTCAGCTGGAACTACTACTGCTAGACTTCCAAAAAACTATTATTTCTTAAAATAAGACCAGACACTGATGCAAACTTCATACCTTTATGACATGACTTGAATAAGCTTAGAGGGAACATAAATTCAAAATTCACAAACTTCCACAAGGTTGATAATTATTGAAACATTACCAATATTGTATCTATTATTCCATGACAATAATAAATTTAAAATTATCCATTCGATACTCAATTCCTCGACTTTCTTGTCTAAAGATTGATTCCAATGCTGCTCAACCCCAGAATTATTATGCATCACTAAAAGGTTTGGACATACTTCCCTCCATCCCATTTTATCTGTCAATCTTTCTATTTTGGGGTGTATCAAAAAGATTGTCCACTTTGAAAAGTCAAAGCATAAAATGTGTAATTTTCTAGAACTATTCCTTATAAATACTTCCCACTTTTAAAAGTGGAAAATATAGGGAAATTGTTGAAAATAATGTCTTTGAATTTGAATTTCAATGCATTTATTGCATGTTGGTATCCATTTCGTGGGAAATAAAAGGGCAATTGTTGAAAATAGTCTTTCTGAATTTTAATGTACGTATTGGAATCCGAAAATGGACAAACAAAATGGGACAAAGGGAGCATGTAACAACACAGGATGTTATTACTACAGCTGCAGACCCTCCTATAGTTTCAAAATTATATAGTAAGAAGGATTTCTCCTTCCAGAAAGCTACGCAAATGGTAAGGTCAATGAAAGATTCCACAAAAGAACTAATATCAGGCACTTGCGTGCACAATATATGAGTTGTAAGAACCTCCATTCTCCCAAAGCAATGGCCATAAGGAGCGTTTTTTCTAATGAGTGTCAGTGGAACAACATAATTCCTTATAAGTTCCAAGCCAAAATGAATTCAAACCATGTAAAGAACGACAATAATCAATTACCATGCATACCAACATTAGCTTGTGTATAATTATCATGATTTTCATGTTAAAAAAAATAAATAAATTGTATTATCAGGGTTGAGTCTTAACACTAGAAAAAAGTTGAGAAGCATTCAATTCTCAATCGATGATTTGGTTGGATACAATTCTCAATTGATGATTCATCTAAACATGCTGCACATAATTATTTTTTTCTTTTTTCTTCTCCCCTGTTTGTGGAAAGACTATGTAGGAATATTTAAGTTCTGCCATGAATTACCATAAAAAAAGTATGAAACAACAAACACAAACCAAGCACACCATAGAGAAAAGTACAGGTAACAAACCCGAACCATAGCCCAGCAGCAATACAAGACATCAAAACAACAGACAAAGTAAAAGAGTGTGTTCTTGTGTGTGTCCATTATTTGCACACAAACAAAACTTCAAATATCTATATATATACAAAAGAACAAGGATCCATTTAATATATATATATATATATATGTGTGTGTGTGTGTGGCAAACAGCCATTTAATTGCATGTTTAATGTTTAATTCAATTTGAAAAAAAAAAAATTAATTCAAAACAAACAAGCCCGTGTAATTGCATGTTCAATTAAATTCAGATATTGGCCCCAAAAAGAATTTATTAATTAAAAACAAACAAGCCCATGTAATTGCATGTTTAATTCAATCGCAAAATAATAATAATAATAATAATAATAATAATTAAAAAACAAACAATCCAACAAATTCAAACGGATGATCAAGATTGAGACAAGCACAACATTATCAGAAACAACATAAGCATCAGAATTGCATATACCTTCAATCACCCACATATGACAACTCAGAAAAGAATAAGAAGATTGAAAAAGAAAGAAGAAAGATAGGAGAAAGAAAGCAGATGATGTAGAAAAGACCCAAAGGGCCAAAGACCCATAAGTTTTCAACCAAACAAAGAGTCAAATATGGGTTTTCTTTACCCTTTATATATTGATAAATACAGCTTTTCACTTTCTATTAATAACGAAACGCTTTCTCCGCAATTCAAGCCGTCAAAAAGCTGAAGAAAGACTATCTCTTCCCATAATTTTCTACCCCAATTATATCCATTTATACCAAAATTGAATCAAGAAAAATAAATAATATTAAGTTGGGTTTCCAAAATTGATAGAGAAAATCAATTTTCATGACGACCCAGTACTCGATTATTAAACAAAAAAATATATTATATATATGGGTTAAGAAAATACAATAAAGGAAAACGGAAATTTTTTTTTTTTTTTTGAATGATGAGAGACAAAGGTAGTATTGATTGAAGTGAATTCGTTGGGAATATTGTTGTTCTCTACCTTTTTGATCACTTCTGGTTCTCCTTGGTTATATTCTTGAAAAGTAAAGAGGTTCGCTTGGAAGAAATGAGTTGTAGAGAGAGAAGAGAGAGGAGGGAGGAGAGAGACGTGTTGCGAACGTAGGCAAGCAATGTAAAACTCGAGGCTTTGGACAAGAATAATTCCATCTAATCCATCTATATGAGTTCTAAAAGATGGGGGTTGGGAGCTAAGAATTGCATTCAAATTTGTTGTACATCATATTATCCTTTTTATTTGGTCAAATTTGGTGACCTTTTGATTTGTTTTTTTAAAAAATATTTAAATTTAATTTAAATTTTTTTAAAATGCTAAAATAACTTTTCACTCTCTTCTGATATTTTTCTACAATCTCCAACAACCTCTTATTGCTCGCTCTAATCACTTTCTTCTTATTTTTTTACTATCTTCGTTAACTCTAATCACTTTTTGACAACTTTTCAATAAGTGTCTATCACAAATGAATAATAATCATCTCATCTGTGTCTACCCTCACTATAGGCACCACGTCTAACCTTTCATTACCATCTTTGAAAATTTAACAAACATGTTTATTTGTTTTAGTTATTGTTGACTTTTTTAATTTTTGAGGGTTAATAGTGTAAATTTAAGTCCACTAGTAAGGATCAATCAGTCCTTCTAGGATTTTAATTGCCAATCAATTATCAGACGATTGTGTTGAATTTCTTTTAACCTCAATGAATATGACTTTTACTAATGACTTGTTTTAGGAGAAATTGATAAGAAATAACAAATACAGAACAATTCAGGAACTGAATTTTATTAAGCAAATGAGAACGTACAATGAAGTCACAATGACCCAGCCTCGCAGAGGTTCACAGCAACGACTACTTGAAACTATTCCTAGGAAATAAAGTGCAGTACAGGAATTGAAGTGTTGAAAATGTAAAGAACTGAAAATGTAAAATTGGAAAGAAATATAAAGTAAATAAACTGGTTTCTGGATCTGAGTCTGAGCCTTCCATTTTGGGGCTTTCTCTCCTATTTATACTTTTGAATGGTAACCGTCGAAGTGAACTTACAACCGTCGAAGAGTCCTCCTATGATCCCTGATCATGTTCTTTCACAGTTAGTCTCCACTACGACATTCTTACAGTTAGACTTCCCTCTTGAATTTGAATTTGAATTTGAATTTGAATTTGAATTTGTGAGTAATCGTTGGGCCATGTCATTTTGCGCCTTCTAGCTGCTTTAATGCTGCGTAGATCCATTATTACCAATATGAACTACCACGTGTCTATTGTTGATTAGAATTTTGCATTAACTCTCCAAATTACCCTTTACGTGCCACGTGTTAAGTTGGGATTGGCTTATACAAAATATGTAGCCAACAGTTATCAAAATATTTGTGTCTACCAAATATATATATATATTTTTTTCCTTTTTTAAGTCAAAATTGTAATTGTTTTATGTAAACAAAAAAAATTACAAAGAAAATTGACATTGTTGTCAAACAACACCTCACTGTGAGACGTTGGGAACCAAACTTCAAACCATCGGAAGCATTTGAAATTACAACCGCAGTTTGGGTTCGGTTTCCTGAGCTTCCGATTGAATACTATTAGAAGAAAGTCCTATACACGAAAGCTATTGGCAAACCGCTAAAAATCGATTGGAATACAGCAATGGCAACAAGGGAAAAGTTTGCTCGGGTCTGTGTAGAGATGGACCTCAGTAAACCTCTTAAACCAAAATTCATGTTAGAGGGTATGGTCTACAGCATTGAGTACGAATCTTTGCACTCATTTTATTTTCTTTGTGGCAGAATCGACCACCGAAATGAGGCATATAGATTCAAAACCCCAAGTGCTTTATCGACGGTGGATAATCTAGCCGTTTCAGTTACCGAAAAATCTGACCCTCAACTTGCGATAGACAATGGTCACCTGCATCAGCAGTGTGAGGAAGACGAAACCTTTGGCCCATGGATGCTAGTGACTAAGCGTAATAAGAGAATAGCCTAACACAAGAGGACCCAAAAGTCTACTAGCACAATTACTAACGCTAACTCTTTTCAGTATTTGGAAGTGGGCCAAGATAGCCATGGAAACATCCACAAGGAAAAAAAAGAATTCTCAACATGCAGGGAAGAAGGCCCAAGGTGAGTCCAGCTCCCTAACTGGCCCAACACTAACTACGGACCCTAAAAAAAAGAACAAGCTAAGGCTACAGCATTACAGAGCTAAGGAATCAAACACACATAGCAAACACCAACCAGTCTGGCAGAAATCGGGGGGAAGTTCAGATTCACACACCAAGGATCTGCACACAGAGAACCTATCTCGTGATCAAGTCAAGGTGACAACTCATATCAGTGCAAATCAATTACAATAGAGCTCTGCTGACATGATCTATACGTTAGAGACCACCCCAGCTCTAGAAGACTCTATTATGGTTGAAGTTAACCCATCTCCTACACCAACTCACTTACCGAAATCAACCCTTGCTTAAAACCCCATCAATCCCTTATACTCAGATCGAGAACCTTCAGACCCAGGGGAAATAAACAATGGAAGGGGAACACCACAAGACCCCGAAGGAATCGTTACCAGAGGTGAACGAACATCGGAACTAGAAGGACAATGTGAGCTTATTGTTAGAACTAGGGAGAGAAACAACTCACCTAGTCGCTTTCGTCTGGTGGATCGAATAACTCCGAATGACAATCGCCCTAAATTGAGAGGCTCAACACCAGAATCCACTACACTCGATCCAGCTAGCCTCCATGAGGTCAGCAGAGGCAGATCGGCGACGGATTCGCACCATTGTTAGAGACTTGGTATCTGACTCTCCCCTTCAATACCCCTCTATGGACTTATTAAAACATCTTTTTTGGAATTGCAGCGGAGCCGAAAATAACAATTTCAAAAGAAATTTTGTGGAAATTATCCGCACCCACAAACCTGAAATCATCATCCTTATGGAGACTAAAGTGCCCTTCAGCACCATGGGAAATTTCTTTAACCGTTTGGGCTTCATAACCTCAACCATCATAGACCCTATTGGTAGAGTATGAGGGATTTGGATCATCTGGGACACCAAACCATGTAAATGTTAGAGCCTCATCAGTCAGTCCGCAGGCCATTCATGCAACTATCCATAAAGAGGACTTTGAAGAGTAGGTTCTTGCTGCTGTCTATGCAAGTCCAAACCCAATTATGAGAGAAAACTTATGGGATGAACTAGAAGAGGTGGCAGAAACCATGACCAGACCATGGTTGGTAGCTGGGGATTTCAACGATTATGCAAGCCAGGGAGAAAGAAGAAGCTTCATAAAAACTTCATCCTCTACCCAAACTCAGAAGTTCTTAGAAATGATCAACAACTGTAATCTAATTGATTTGGGTAGCTCCGAACCCAAGATGACATAGACTAACAATAGACAAGGTTTGACTAATACTATGGAGAGACTTGATAGAGCCCTGAGCAACCCTGAATGGAGAACAATGTTTCCAGAAGCCACGGTGAGAGTCCTTCCTTGCACATACTCAGATCACTCCCCCCTATTGGTGTACACCTAAGGTATGCATACTCTTAATCCCTCTTAGAGGCCTTTCAGATTTGAGGCTGCTTGGATCTCTCATCCTGGCTTTCTTGATATTATTAACTCTTCCTGGACTAATATGCACAACAACCTCCTTGATTCTACTGCTGAATTCACTCGTAGAGTGACAGAGTGGAACAAAGAGGTTTTTGGCAACATATTTAAGAGGAAAAGACACCTTCTTGCTAGAATTGAGGGCATTCAAAAAACTTTAGCTAACAACTTCTCCCACAATCTCCACGTCCTTGAGCAAGAACTTTTAAAGCAATATAATGTTACTTTACTTCAAGAGGAAACTCTTTGGTTTCAAAAATCTAGAGCCAAACGCATCACTTTTTGTGACAGAAATACCAAGTTTTTCCATATTTCCACTATCACCAAGAGAAGGAAAACCAAAATCAATGCCCTTAAAGACTCTGCTGGTACTTGGCACATTGAGACTAATGAGATCAAAGCTGTCATCCTTGATTATTTTCAAAACCTTTTTAATTATGAAGATGTTATCCAACTGGACCACTGTAATAACCTAGCTTCAACATATTTGACTTATGATGATAACACTGGGATCCTTAAACCCATTTCCCATGCAGAAATCCTTAGGGCTTTCAAAGCCATTGGTTCTTTTAAAGCTCCTCGGAAAGATGGCCTGCAAGCCATCTTTTATAAGACTTACTGGAATTCTATAGGGTAGTCTGTTTGTGAGTTTGTTAATTACTGCTTCCACCACAATAATGTGCCTTCTGAGGTCAATAAAACCTTAATAGTGTTAATCCCCAAGGTTAATAATCTTGAAACCATCACATAATTTCGACCCATTAGCCCGTGTAATGTTACTTAAAAGATTATAACCAAGATTATTGTGAGAAGAATTAGACCCTTTTTAGACAACATTGTCTCTCCTAATCAAAGCAGTTTTATCCCTAGTAGAAACACGACTGATAATATCATTATCACCCAAGAGATCTTGCATACCTTAAGGCATAAGAAAGGTAAATGTGGTGACATGATTTTTAAAATTGGTTTAGAAAAAGCTTATGATAGACTTTCTTGGACCTTTATCAGAGACACACTTCTGGAGTTTAAACTTAATACTATTCGAGTTGATTTGATTATCAGTTGTGTTACTAATAAACATTCCTCCATCGTGTGGAATGGTGAAATCATTGATGGGATTCACAATAGAAGAGGTCTTAGACAAGGAGACCCTCTTTCCCCCTACCTTTTTGTCCTATGTATGGAAAGACTATCCAACATGATCCACTGTAAGGTTTATGAGGGTTCTTAGAAAGGTATCAAGGCCTCTAGAAATAGCCCATCTCTATCCCACTTGTTCTTTGCTGATGATTTGATCCTTTTTGCTAAAGCTACCCCCCCAAATTGTGAAATCATCATGGATACCCTATATGAGTTCTGTGATGTGTTTGCTCAGAAAATTAATCTTCTTAAATCCAAACTCTTTGTTTCCTCAAATGTTCCTAGAAATCTTGCCAAAGCTTTTAGCTTTCAAAGTGGCATTCTACTCACACATAATCTTGGCAAGTATCTTGGCTCTCCCCTTCTCCACCAGAGAGTCACCAGAAATTTGTTCACTGAAATTCTTGACAAGATGAAAACCAGACTCTCCGGTTGGAAAGCGAGAACCCTTAATTTAGCTGGTAGAGCAACTCTCATCCAAGTTGTGACTTCTGCCATACCCACTTATACTATGCAAACCATGGAACTCCCTAGAAAACTTTGTGATGACATGGACACAATTAATAGAAATTTCTTATGGGGTGACTCTGACACACAGAAAAAAGTCCATTTGATTAATTGGGACAATGTTTGCCTGAGTAAGGCTGAGGGTGGTCTTGGTATTAGAAAGGCTAGAGACCAAAACACTACCCTTCTAACCAAACTTGGATGGAAGATTTTGAATGACAAAGAAACACTAATCCTTCACACTAAATATTTGAAACACCATACTCTTTACACCTGGCCTTTGAAAAAGACCTCTTCTCACTGTTGGAAAAACATCTGTAAGACCAGGCACATCCTCAGAAAATGGGTCAAATGGATAGTTGGGGATGGAAAAAACATATCCTTCTAGAATGATTGGTTGTGTGGCTCTCAACGTCTATCTCAACAGAATAATAGTTATCAAATTGATAAATCTGTTAAGGTTAGTTCCATATTAGATGAAGAAGGCAATTGGGATATTGCTACCTTGTCCACTCTTGTTACTCACCAAGACCTCAATGAAATTCTCAAAATCCATAGACCCAGATATGTTACTTTCACTGATAATCTTGCTTGGGCCCCTTCAACATCTGGTAACTTTACTTCAGCCTCTACTTTTCATTTCATTTCTCAATCTAAGCCAAGACACAGGGATTGGAAATGGATCTGGAAAATTCAGATCCCCCAAAAGCTAAAAATTTTCCTCTGGTTGATCTTAAGGGATAGATTGTTGACAAACCAATTAAGACTGGTGAGACAAATAGCTCAAACTGATGACTGTCCCAGATGTGGCCAACACAGTGAAACCATGACACACCTGCTTAGAGATTGTGCTACCTCTAAAGACTTTTGGACTAAAATTCAAACCCTTAATTGGTGGGAAGAAGGAAAGAAACTGCCTCTAACTGAATGGGTTACTTTGAACATGAAAAACAAAGATCTTTTTTATGGAAAAAAATGGAACCTTGTTTTCATTGTCACTCTTTGGCAAATTTGGAAAGACCGTAATAAATTGGTTTTTGATAATATTTCCAACCCACTTCAGATCAATCTCAAGAACATCTTCCTTTATGTTCAAGAGATTGAGGAGGCTTTTCTTTTCCCTCTCTGCCCACTTCTTGCAGCTCCTAAACTAATTAGTTGGTGCTGCCCAATTGCAGGTAAGCTAAAACTTAATACTGATGGATGCTCAAAAGGTGACCCAGGGCAAGCAGGCTATGGAGGACTTCTGCTATGGGGATATTATGGCAAGCTAGGTCATTGCTCAAGTCTAAAGGCAGAGATATGGGCCATCTATAGAGGATTAAACATATTCTTCCAGAAAGACTCCAGAGATGTTCAAATAGAATCTGACTCTGAACAGGCCATCAACCAAATCCTAAGTGGACCAACTCAACACTTACCTTATAAAGCCCTTATTGAAGATGCAAGGTTCCTATTAAGGAGGAGTAACAGCTCTCTTGGGCACACCTTACGTGAGGGAAACAAGGCTGCTGATCTCCTAGCCAACATGGGAGTAGCTCAAAACGAGCATGTGATTTTTCTTGATAACCCTCCAGCTAAAGTTACACCTTTCCTTATTGAAGACATGACTGGAGCTAGCTTTGTGAGGGACTAGCCCTCTCTTTGTATCTCTAACTACTTTAACTCTTGTTCTTTTCTTTCCTATGAATCTAAAAAAATGTTAATGTACACTAAACCTAACCCATGTGATTTGTCTTGATAACCCTCCAGCTAAAGTTACAGCTTTCCTTATTGAAGACATGACTGGAGCTAGCTTTGTGAGGGACTAGCCCTCTCTTTGTATCTCTAACTACTTTAACTCTTGTTCTTTTCTTTCCTATGAATCTAAAAAAAAAAAAAAACAACACCTTGATTAATACGCTTTTATTATCTTGTTTATAAATTATATAATGCTTCCTCTGTTGAGGTAGAAATAATGAATTTCTTGCTTGGTAAAAATGTGTAAATTAACAAAAAATAAAATAAAATGATATATACTAACAGTTAAAAGAACTTAATATAATTAAACCTACAAACTTTATATATTATTTGATTCATCAATTAATAAATTTGTTTTATCCGGTCACACCATCATTCCTTGTATAACTTAATATGATAATAAAAGGCAAAGTGTAATAGTAATTTAAGAAAATAATTTTATTGACCCACCTGATAAATGGGTAATTGAAATCCTAATTTGTTATTAATTAAAATAGTAATATTACCCAATTGGATCCAATCAGTAATTTGATACAATAATAACCAAAGCATAATTCTGAATTTTAGAAAATGATTTTGTTTCACCTACAAATTAAGTGGATGAAAAAAATCTCAATTTTTATTAATTAAAATAATAAATAGACATATTTAAAATAGTGAAATTTCACAGAGAATTTCACCGGCTGGCAAAAACAAAATAAATAAAATTAACACAAAACATCACATCACTTTACAGAATAAATCCCACTCATTAGAGTTTCTTTAAAGCTCACCCATTGGAGTTTTTTCCCCAAACAAATGCCGTCCTGCCAATTGAAAATTTGGATAAGTTTCAGCCGTTGGATCAATGAGTTTTGGTTTTGTTGAAGAGCGACGGCTGTGTGGTGACTGATACGTCAAGGTGGCACTCATTGAAAAAAAACAAACAAATAAAACCAACAACCAAAACGGAGTAACTTATCCAAAAACAAAAATAAAATAAAATAAAAATAATATTGTGCACAAAATTTGCTTTTGATAATTGATTACATGTCATAAAGTTATGTACCAGAGTTTATGCACATAGTTTTATCAAATGAAAAATGCCCCATACCTCCGGTGGTGACCCCATCACCTCACTGTTTTTTGATTGGTTCATAATTTTTTTTTTCCTGCCACTTGCAATCCCCACGTGGAGTTGAAGGTGTTGGGGGTCATCCCCGCTGGAGGTCCCAGCACGGTTGTTATCAAATAATAAGATTGGCTTTTAGTCCATCATCACGATCATCAAATGTCTAATTCTGATAATTTAATTCATTTATTTTTTAAATTATTTTATATAAATTATTTATAAGAACAATTTTATCAATAAAAAATTATAATCACATAATTTTATTATATTTATTTTAAAAAATTAATTAATTAAATTATTGGAATTAGATGTATAGTGAACTCATATATCCAAACATTATGGTCTAGTCCAATCCATCAAACAAGCCTCACCTTTTATTAAAAAAAAACATTAACATATTGGTATAGATTCAATTCTTGTATGGTCATGTCTATATTAATTGTATGCTAAAATCTAACATGTTACACACAATCAATAAAATATTCTTCTTTTAAATATGTGGAAATAGAATTGATCTTCTAAATAAATTCGCCGAGAATCTAAAAACAAAGAATTGTTAGTGCCTCATTCGTCCATTCTCGGATAGACACTCTAATACTAAATTCAACAACTTTCTCCCCCTAGAAAATACTCAATAATATAAACACAAAAACTGTAATCAATTACTAGAACATACTAATGTGTATCTCAACCCATGGGATATCATCTTTATATAGAAGTGCTCTATCCCGTCATCCTTAGGTTTCTTCCTAATTGGGTTGAGTTTGATGCCATCAAAAGTCTCAAGAGTCTCATTCCTACCCAACTTAAGAGTCATATTTTCATTGAGATTCCACCACCTAGAAATCAAATTTTGATTGAGGTTTGACCAATATCATAATTTCAACTAATATTATCCTACCACATAACACCACAATCTAAGATCATATCATATAGACGAGATCTTGGACTCGCATAATCTCACTCAAAAATATGTCTCACAGTAATCTTTTTGAGTAAATTTTAAAATCTTATTAAAAAGTAAATATGGTTTAAATTCAAGTGCTTTTATAATCAATCATATTAATTTGCTAACATTATATATAAGAATAAATTTATATCACACATTAATTTAATTTTTTGAATAAATTTTTAATATAATTCCTAACTATATTGCATATTATTGTCTCACATGCCGATGCGCACCTTTACAAAAGAATTATGAAATATATTACTCTTTAAAAAATTAAAAGAATAAATAAAGCAGCTGACCTGGTCAGCCCCTCTCTCTACCCCAACACCATCGATAGGTTTGAGGATGATGACAAATTGGTGTGTTTTTGTGAGTTAGTGACATTCCACAAACTCAAACACCAAAACAAAACACACCCCATTACCACCTTGGATTGTGCATAATTCACGGCTCAAACTGTCAACCAACCATTTCAATTACCAATCACCAAATTCCCTCATATATATATATATATATACACACCCATATCTTTCTTTGCTTGAATTCTTTCTTCTCTCTCATTTTGTCTTCTATGGACGAAGAAGTAGTGGCCTTTCTCTTGCTTTTTGTAAGGTATGCATTATGGGTTTCATTCCATCTCTCTCTCTCTGGTTTACAGGTTTTTTTCTTCTTCTTAGTTTCCATAACTATATGCAACATTGATTCTTGTAAATATTGTTTATTCTAATTTGCTACTCCATTTATAGCTCATATAATCGATTTAAAACCAGTAAGACTAATTCGATGGCTATAAAATCTTTATTTCTTGATTGATGATTTTGAAAAATTTATGAGCGTGTCACTAAATTTCAATATTTATAATTGGATACTATCCGTATTACTATAAGTTGATCGACATCAATTCTTCTTTTAATACCATTATTTAAAACATTGATCATAGATATACTTTGTAGAGCCAAGTAATAACAAATTCGATTTTTCACAATTCAAAATCAATTGGCATATTTACTAATTATTAAAGGAAATCTTGACACTGATTTCTTAATTAGGCCTCTTTCTTGGTTCATATATAACTTGGAAGGTTTGAATTGATATGACTCTTATAGTTGTAAGCTTATTGTGATAATTTTTTTTGCATAATGCTATTTTGTATGTGAAGAAAATGAATTATGTTTTTTTTTTTTTTAAATCACTTTAATGTCTTTGACTCACACCTCGCAAGGCATGTGTCAAACTTAAATAATTGTTTTTTAACTAGTGAGTAAAGGCCATCATTTGACTCGAAGACATACGGTCTAGTTAGGCAAGTTGGACTGGCCTGGATAAGGCTTGGATAGGGGCTAAGCCTAAGTGTCAAAGACCAGCCCAATCTAGCTCCTAAGTTCACAAGCTTGATAGAAAATAAGAATAAAAAGCAAAAAAATAAAATAAAAAAATCTAGAAGTAGGCCTAAATCTCAACCTGCTGAGCTTAACCTTCGGCGTAACCCACTAATTCATCTAAGTTAAGCGCACTAATTGGGCTTTGATTTTTGACATTGAGTGGGCCCGGGTTGACATCAAAAGCCTCTGGAGCGGGCTTGGGTACCAATTTCATGGGTTGGCCTCGACCCACCCTTAACTAGGGGTGTGCGCGGTGCGGGTCGGTGCGGTTTGAGAGAAAAATAGAAACGGTTTCGGCGGTTTTGGCGGTATTATGCACACCCCTACCCTTAACCATGAGTGATTTTTAAGTCAAAATGTTCTCTCTCTATCTTTTCTTCCTTTCAAATCATTTATTTCTATGGAATGTAGGTTCTCTTGAATTCCTAGCAGTTGATGGCAACACAAAGGAAAGAGTCTGTTCCTGCTACTGGGAAGGAAAAGAGAGGCAAATCTCCTTCGTATCCGCCACACAGTGACAGTCCCAGGAATAAAAGAAATCCGAATGCACTACACACCACCACCCCTCCTCTTGATCATAATAAACCTGTTTCAAGCTCAACCCCACCGGAGAGGCATGTTCGTAACTACTTGAGACCTACCATAAACTCTCGTCTTGATCTGAATTCTACTATAGATGCCACCAAACAAGCCTCCAATAGCCCCACTCTCAATAGAAGAAGATCATTTGACAAACCCCCATCACCTACTCCACAAAGAGCACATACTAGTACTATTGGCAACAATTCCACAGAGAGAAATCTCAAATCTTCATCAGTTTTAACAAAAACCCAATCTTTACCAAAATCCCATCTTGAGAAGCCATCTTCTGCAAAAACCCATCAAGAGAGGACGTTGAAATCGCTTAAAGAGGCTGGAAAATCTCACTCGTTGCATTCAAGAATACCCAACAGTAGTGTCAAGAAGAGCACAAACACCGGTGTAAATAAGAAGCAAAACAGAAATGCTATAAGTAGTGATGCTCCGTCAACAAAATCTCTTACTGCGCCTGATATAGCGGAGAGCACTCATGTAATTGAACCAATTCAAGAAGATAAAGAATCGTTGGTCACTGATGTTGAAGAAGATAAGGAGGTGAAGGTTGAGAGCGACAACGAATTGCCAGCTGAAATTTCTATACCAGAGGATAAGAAAGCAAAGAACAAGAACAACCAAAATGTAAGTCTCCAGCCTAGTGAGCCATTGACAGTTTTAGAAGATCAAAATGAGGCTATAGATGTTCAGAATGAAGAACCTGAAGATAAACTAGCTGTTGAAACCAGAGAAGAGCACAACAAAGATGAAAGTAATAAGAGCCAAACAGAGCCTAAAGTAGAGGGTGAGGAGGGGGAAAAAGGAGAAGAGAGTGAAAATGAGAATGAAGGAAACCAAACAGTGGGAAAGGGGAGTGAATTGGGAGATGTTGGTACAGAAACAAAAGCAGAGGAGGCGAAGAATGTGACCGAAAGTTCCAATGCAAGGCAAGGAGGACAAGGGAAGAAGGATACACAAGCATACAATGATGTGATTGAGGAAACAGCAAGCAAGCTTTTGGAGAAGAGGAAGAACAAGGTAAAAGCACTGGTTGGGGCCTTTGAAACTGTCATATCCTTGCAAGAGCCTGAGGCTTGGTGATTCCATTTTATTCAACGCCAACACATAACCAACCATGTAGAGTAATTTGAGTGATTTTTTTTTTTAAATGATTGATTTCATAATCAAGACTGTTTTTTAGTGTGAATAATTTTGTGTGTGAAGAGTTATTGCCATTTTTTACTTGTTAATAATTTGGGTTGAACAGATTATGTCACTCTCAATCCTTAAATTTGTATAACTTTTTTTTTTGTATAGTATTACTTATATTTTAATTTCGTTAATTTTGCCCCAACTTGTCTAATTTGTGTTTAATTGTACAAGTGTTGTTTTCATCAAAATTTGTTCAAATTTAAACCCCCCCCCCCCCCAAAAAAAAAAAAAAAATACCCCTACTTTTGTAAAATTTGGATGAAATAGATTTTGGAATTATTTAAATACAAATTAAACAAGTTGAGATCAAATTGATATAATTAAAATATTGATAACCAAAATGACTTCAGTGTATATACTTCAGGTGTATTTAACCCTAGCACACCTAATGTATCTTAATGTTGGATTAATTTCTAATTGGGACCACATATTTAAATGTGTGTTATCATTTATAAGAAGTCTAAAATTTAAGTAATCTAATTGAGTTATAAGTAGGCTTAAGGGTATGGTTGTCATAGAATTAATGTGTAGATATCATTGTGTAATTTCTATTTCTACGAGGGGCAGAAATAGAAATTGTGATAGATAGTTAGTTTTCCAACTGCAAAAAACTGACAGATTGAAAACAACTAAACAAAGAGGTAATGGTCCCCAATCCTGCCAAGAGATATGCAAAAGGAAAAAGTTCTCTCTAATCCTCTCAAGGGAGAAATTCAAAGGCATAAACATAAGGAAAGGATTGAAAGGCTATCCCATAATTACACTTCCATTCAACCATCACAATGGACTCGAGTACGCATCTCTCTTTGATTTCTTAATAATACATATGATACGCGATTCAATATTTCAGATTTTTGAGATTTACTTTTCACAAGTGGTATCAGAGCGATTATATCATGTCTATTGTTAGAAATCGATTCAGTTCTGTTTAAAAATCCATAATAGATTCTGCATTATTCCTGCTTCAAATACAGTTTCTGTTTCATCATGTTTGTTTCTTGATTTTCTGTTCTGATTTCATACGGTTAGGGATGTAAGAAAAATCGAAAAAACCGACCAAACCGATTAAGCTGGATCAAACCGACTATATTTGGTCTGTTTTTTAACAAGAATCGGTCTGTGCGGTTTTTAAATTTGATTTTTTTCGGTGTTCGATTCAGTATAGGTTTAAGCATCTTGTGCACCGATCTAAACCGAAACCAACCGCTTCAACATATATTGTATTTATAATATATATATATATATATATAATCTAATAATATAATGATATTAATAAGTATAATAAATTATTAACCTTAATTAATTAACCTTATCATCTTTATTACCTAAGTTTGTAACCTCTTATTATATAAAATCTTAACTCCAACTCATTATTCTTGAAACTTTAGTATTTTTAAACTTTTTTTTGTTTTTATTTTTGTTAATTTAGGAATTGAAAAGTACATATTAAATGAATGGATTGGATATATTTGAAATGGTAGACAAATAATTAATTTAATATTTTTATATAGATTAATGATTATATTTAAATGTGACTCAAGTTTGAAAAATTCTGAACCGATTAAACGCACCAAACTGAACCGTTTCAATCGGTTCGGTTTGGTGCAGTTTGATGGGAGAAGCGGTCTGTATCGGTGTTCAAAATAATAAAACCGACATTATCGATTTGGTGTAATTTTTTACCTAAATACCGACCGTACCGAACCGATTACATCCCTACATACGGTTGTCATTCTGTATGTTGTTTGTGATTGAATCACTACTAGATTGTGTTACTGTTGGGACGATCTTTGATTTGTAAAATCAATTTACAATTTTTTTTATTATTTATTATTGAATTGGTACGCCTACGTCTTTGACTTATAATAAAATAAGTTTGCAATTCCCAAAAAACAAAAAAAAAGTGCTTTCGTCTGTGACTTTTTGTGTTTGAAACTGAGCACTATTGTGTTACAACAATGATTCATCCCACTAAAAACATCACCACTAATAGCACTAATGCATTAAAAAAGTAAAAAAAAAAAAAAATACAACTCCAAGACCAAAATATCACATCATTAATGATGGGACCCACTGCCACCTAATTAGTGGGAGCACCAATTAGTGCTCCCAAGCATTTTTCATTGTGTTATCATATTCATATAGAGAATTGATTTGGTCTTTTGGAGTTTTCTGATCAATACATGAATGTGATTTATGGCACTATATATATATATATATAAAAGGAGCTGTTTTTCAGGAACAGTGGTTGTTAGTTTCAGTAACAATTTTTTTTTTTTTTTAAGGAACAATCAATTATAAATATGTGTGCAACGTCTGCCGTTGAAATCAATTGTTTAACATTCTAAATATAAGTCAATTAAAACAAGATGTCACCAAAGCGGCCTCTCTTGTCTATATTGTTTTATATGGAATGTTTTGATGTTCATGTCTGTGTATCTCATGCGGGTATTTATCGGTCCAAAGACATGATTAAGACTTGGCAGAATTACACACACATTTTGTGGTGATAAACATGTGCCAATTGTCAAGGAAACCTAATGTGAATAATAAATCCATCAAAAGATAGATTTGTTATTTGACATAACTTATTGTCAATGTTTGATCATTACAACAAGAGTACCATTACAGTTAATATCACTACCCAAAGGCTTGGTATTAATGTTGTGCTAGGTATCTTGAGATGTTGTCATTAAATTAATTTATTTAGAGATTATTTGTTTGGTTACTTAATGTGAGCATAATTGTTTATTCGTTTTATTTTATTCTCTATTCAGCTTTAATGTTGACTACTTCAATTTCTGCCAACATGAACAATGTTCCAATGTTAAATGGAACAAACTTTAAGGACTAGAAAGAGAACATATTAATTGTTCTTGGCTGCATGGACATAGACTTGGCATTGAGAATGTCGAAACCGAATGATCTCACTAAACAAAGTACTCTTGAGGAAATTGCGTACTTTGAAAAGTGGGATCATTCCAACAAGCTAAGTCTTATGACCAGGAAGCACGGGATTCCAGAAGTTTTCAGGGGTGCAATAACAAATGATGTTACCATTGCTAGTCAGTTCCTTTCAGAAATTCAGAAACATTTTGCTAAAAACGATAAGGCTGAAACAAGCACGCTTTTAGCAAGCTTGATTTCAATAAAGTATAAGGGCAAGGGTAATGTTCGAGAGTACATCATGGAAATGTCTCATCTTGCTTCAAGGCTTAAGGCACTCAAGCTCGACCTATCTGATGATTTGCTCGTGCATTTAGTTCTTATCTCTCTTCCTGCACAATTTAACCAATTTAAGGTCATTTACAACTGTCAGAAGGAGAAATAGACTCTCAATGAGCTCATTTCATTTTGTGTGCAAGAAGAAGAGAGATTGAAGCAAGACAGGACTGAAAATACTCATTTGGCTAGCACCTCAAAGAATACGGGCAAGAGGAAGAATAAGGGCAAAGAAGTTGCTACTCCTAAGGGTTCGGAGCAAAAGAAACAGAAAACATAGGATGGTTGTTTCTTTTGTGGCAAGCCCGGACATAGGAAGAAGGATTGTGCCAAATACGCCGCCTGGCGTGTTAAGAAAGGAACATTTTCTATTTTGGTCTATTCTGAGATAAATTTTGCTTCAGTAGCTAGAAACACTTGGTGAGTAGATTCTGGTGCTACTACTCACATATGTGTTTCTATGCAGGGTTGCCTGAACTACTGAAAGCCAACTGATGCTGAAAGACATATCTTTGTAGGTGATGGCAAGTCAATGGAAGTGCAAGCAATAGGGCACTTTAGATTATTACTTAAGACTGGTTACTATTTGGATTTAAAAGACACTTTTGTTATACCGTCCTTTAGACGGAATTTAATTTCTATCTCTATATTGGACAAATTTGGATATTATTGTTCTTTTGAAAATATGCAGTTCAGTTTGTCTATTAATTCAAATGTTGTTGGTACTGATTTACTTAATGCTTTTGATAATCTATATTTGCTGGAAACTATTTCATCTTATAATGAAATCTTGCACATGGAATCACGAGGTACGACGTGGAAATTAAATAAGGAACATTCAGCCTCATTATGGCACAAACGCTTAGGTCACATCTCTAAATCTAGAGTTGAGCGACTTGTGTCTGATGAAATTTTGGACTCTCTTGATTTTTCAAAACTTCATGTCTGTGTTGAGTGTATCAAGGGAAAACAGACCAAAATGAAGAAATTAGGTGCCAATCAGACTACAAATATCTTAGAATTAATTCATACGTATATATGTGGGCCATTCCCTATAGTATCTTGGAATGGTCAACAATATTTTATAACATTCATAAACGACTAGTCCAGATATGAATATCTATTTCTTATACATGAGAAATCACAGTCTTTGGATGTCTTTAAAAAGTTTAAGGCCAAAGTTGAGTTACAACTCAACAAAAGGATAAAGTTTGTGCGGTCTGACCGTGGTGGTGAATACTATGGCAGATATGATGGATCAAGTGAACAACGTCCAGGTCCCTTTGCTAAATACCTAGAGGAATGTGGAATCGTTTCACAATACACTATGCCAGGATCACCTAGCATGAACGGTGTACCTGAGAGACGAAACCGAACTCTTAAGGATATGGTAAGAAGTATGCTTAGTCATTCTACTTTACTAAAGTCCTTTTGGGGTGAGGCATTAAAGGCAGCAACTTATACCTTAAATTGAGTACCAACTAAAGCAGCTGCAAAAACCCCTTATGAGCTTTGGGTTGAGCGAAAGCTTAGTCTAAAGCACTTGCATATGTGGGGGTGTCCTGCTGAGGCGAGGCCTTATAAACTTCATGAAAAAAAATTGGACTCCAAAACTGTCAGCAACTACTTTATTGGCTATGCCAAGCGATCAAAGGGCTACAAGTTTTATGATCCCACAAGTAGGTCAATCTTTGAAACGGGAACTGCAACGTTTTTTGAGGATGTTGAGTTTTGGGGGAGAAATCCAGTTAGAGACATTATCTTTGAGGAGGAAGAGGGGGCAATCCCAATTCCTACTACTACTTTTGACCAAGTGCAGGTTCATATACCTGTCATTGCTCAAGAAGTAAATTTGGATCCTTAACCAGACAATATAGTGCAACCCCTCATTCTAGATGAGCTAATTGTTCCT